TCAGGCTCTGCTGTGCCCGCCATTTTGTGGGCGTCCTCTAGTGCGGCCGCCATTACACGAGTGAGTGAGGAGTCCCATTCCTCCGCGACACCCACAGTGAACGATGAACCAACAGTCAACAAAGCATAATCCATAAATTGAACGAGAGATGAACGGGGACCCTCACGGATTAAACGTGATTTGAGTGGTTGGCTAATGCCCTCACAAAAAAAATCTATGAGCACACAGCTGTGTGCTCATAGACCTTAATAACAGTCTTACAGTGTCCATACCTGGCCAGTGTCCTGTAGAAAAGCTGCTGGATCCTTGTGAGGCAGAGTATTCTGTTACGGGGTGAATGAGACGTGAGACGTGCGGATCCATGTGCAAGGCTTTATTTATTCTGTGTAGTGAAAGAGTCAATATGATGGACGAGTGACCTCTGGTGGCGATCGGACGGAAGTCCATGGACAGGATTCGTAACATTAGTCGATATTCAAAGTAACATTGCACTGAAGGTATATTATAAATCAGTTTTTGCATTGCCTGGGAGTCAAATGCATGACCGTGGCAATGCTACATGCACTAATGTTTCAGAATGAATGAATGAATAAATAAATAAAAATGTAGATCAATGTAACAATTACAATTGGTTAATCCAAGTTGTTTTACTGTTTACATTTTCTGAAAAAATCATAGCATGTAATGCATTAAAAATAGAGATGCATGTTTTTCCTTTTTCTTTTTTTAAAGATCGATCTTTTTATATCACAAGGTATTTTCTCAAATCAAGTGTCCGACTGTGAATATATGTATTATATGTTTTTTTTTGTTTCCCATGCATATATCTATAATGTAATTATCCCATACAACAACAATAAATTTTTCTATTTAAAAAAAAAAACGACATCAGGTAAGAAGTAATTCCACTAAACTAAAGGAAATATAAACACAATAATCATGTCATACACTTATATTACAATAGATCAACTAAAAGGTATTCAGAATGGCATAGACCATTTTTGCTAGATTAGAAAAAAAGAACCTGATGGTAAATGATGTTAGAAAGAGCAAAAAACAACAACAGCAACAACATCAACAACAACAAAAACACCACAATAGCAGCAAAGGACTTTTTTTTTTTCAATGAACTGTCAGTACAAGTAGGTTATCTATCTCTTAAAAAAATATTTTTATATTGGGCTGTGAGAAACTTTACAAAAATCACAATAAAATGAATACCTATTGTATAAGCTAATCAACAGGTTTTGTAACTCCTTCCAGACAGTCTTGTGATTATAAATTCCTACACCCCCTTTTTCTTTGACTCTTCAAGGGTGTAATTACACATTTTACTGAAATTCTTAATATTTAACATCTTTTAGTCTGAAAATAATGCAGGCATGTACAACACAATGATGTAAATCTACCAAGTTGCATCAGCTAATGTGTTAATGTACACTGTTCTTCCAATAAATGTAATAATTCATCAATACACTGTGTTAGTAAATTAGGCTGTGTAGTGTATTCTGTTTGTGTTCAGTCATCACTGTCTGCTATTTAGGTGCAATAAAAATAATAATATAAATAATCTCTTTCCACACCCTATATGGGTTATTATTGAAATTACAGTGCTAATCATTAATGGTCTTAACTTTGTGAATGAGAGTTCTAATTAATTTCATCTTTCCCTTGGCTGTGCTTCATATCCTTGTTGGACTAAATATAATTACACACTCCATCATTCCATAGCCGACCATAAGACACTGATGATCCCTTAATAATGCCATAAATTAAGTATTGCAGACACTGGTATCTTTTTCAGGTAATTTTGTCTGCCACATTTCTACTGGATTTTGGCTTCATTTTTTCTGCATTTGAGAAGGTTTTGTGCTGCTACTTGAACACACCTTCCTTTTTTAAATTCATGCATGCAGATTACATTTAGTATATTATTCATTTAAAACATTTGATTGTTTTCCTACTGGGGATTCACTGCCCAGCACCTGCTTTGCCTTAAAAGCATCATAAGATAAAAATAATTACAAGCCATTCAATCTTTTCCCCCTACTCCAAAAACAGGCCAACGAAGGCATTTATGAAAGTAATACTGTCATGTTGCCACTCAGCAGGAAAATAATAATTACCACATTTCTCATGGCACACTATGGCAATAAATGGAGAAATTAAAGAATTTACATTAAACTAAGCCCTGATGAAGACGTAGCAAAATGGGTAATTTTTTATATAAAGATTACTAAAATAGCTCCTTTTTATAGTTTTCTTCTATCAGCCACCATTCCTTTTCGATGTACTCTTTCATCTGAGCTGAAGCTTTTTTTTTGTGGTTGATAATGTTGTTTTGACTGTTTCTGTTTGTTTGTTTACTGGGGATTCACTGCCCAGCACCTGCTTTGCCTTAAAAGCATCATAAGATAAAAATAATTACAAGCCATTCAATCTTTTCCCCCTACTCCAAAAACAGGCCAACGAAGGCATTTATGAAAGTAATACTGTCATGTTACCACTCAGCAGGAAAATAATAATTACCACATTTCTCATGGCACAATATGGCAATAAATGGAGAAATTAAAGAATTTACATTAAACTAAGCCCTGATGAAGACGTAGCAAAATGGGTAATTTTTTATATAAAGATTACTAAAATAGCTCCTTTTTATAGTTTTCTTCTATCAGCCACCATTCCTTTTCGATGTACTCTTTCATCTGAGCTGAAGCTTTTTTTTTTGTGGTTGATAATGTTGTTTTGACTGTTTCTGTTTGTTTGTTTGTGTGTGTGTGTGTGTGTGTGTGTGTGCAATGATTAATTTGAGGTTTTCTCACAACTGTATTCTTAGTCCTAAAATAGAGGGAAATACCATATTCTCTCATGTAAATTAAATTTAAGGCCAGCGATTTCACATACATCATTTCCACATCCTGCGCAGAGTGTTTAATAACACCTTTAGAAGTTTAAATGATTTTCTTTTTGTAAATACTAAAAAGAAACCAATCTAAACTTTTGAGGTATTCTATTAAAATGAGGAATTCTAATTAAACAACTGGTGTTCCATTAATGATGAGATGCTCTATTAAAAATCCAGTGCATAATTCGCCAATATGTACACTCGGGCAGTACCTTTTCAAAAGGTACTAATATATACATTTGAAGTATAATATGTATCTTTAAAGGGATAGTTCACCCAAAAATGAAAATTTGATTTATCTGCTTATCCTCAGGGCATCCAAGATGTAGGTGACTTTGTTTCTTCAGTAGAACACAAACAAAGATTTTGCAGTCTGTCAGTCCTATAATGTCAGTGGATGGGAATCACAGCTTTGAGTCATAAAACATACACAAACAAAACCAAATTAAACCCTGTGGCTTGTGATGATACATTGATGTGTAAAGACACAAAACGATCAGTCTGTGCAAGAAACTGAACAGTATCTATATTGTTTTTTACCTCTGATTTTCACCGTAATGTCTGAACTGTCCTGAGCGCCTTCGCAGACTTATAAGTGCATTACCGCCACCTATCTCTCAAATGGACCATTGACACTCCCAATTGAGATTGTAGATAGAGTGTCAATGGTCCATTTGAGAGATAGGCGGCGGTAATGCACTTATAAGTCTACGATCCGCCGTAAAGCAAGAAGAAGAAGAAGACGCCTCACGTGCAGGCTGAAGAAGAAGACGCGAATGCGCTCAGGACAGTTCAGACATTGCGGTGAAAATCAGAGGTAAAAAACGATATAAATACTGTTCAGTTTCTTGCACAGACC